CCGGGCCGTGCTCGGCGGAGCGAAGCCGCCGCCGCCGCCGCCGCGGGATTTTCTCAATGGGCGCCGCGCCGGATCAAACCCGCGGAGCGCTCGGGGGGGCGGGGCCGCGCTCGCCCATAGGCCCCCGCCCCCCGCCGGACACGCCCACCGGATGGCGCGCGCGGRGGGCGGGGTCTGATGGTGGGCGTGGCTAACGGCGCAGGGGGCGGGGTTTCACTGGGGGGTGCGATCCCCGTGCCCCGCGTACCCCGGGGTCCCCAGCGCCACCCGCGTGTCCCCATCCGCACTCCGGGGGCTCCGGGAGCCTCCACCCCCTGCTCTGSGGCTCTGACCCCACCCCGTTCGGCCGGACCCCCCTCTTTTGGGTTCCACAAACCATCCGGACTGTCCTGAACTCTCCCTCGGAGGGGCTCGATCCTTCTTTGGGTTCCCCAAATCCCCCTTTAGGATGCCGATAATCCTTGTGCCCCCTCTGGAGGCTCCTACGCTCCCACAGGGCCACTGATCCCCCCCTGATGTGACCTCACTGCCACCATTGGGGTCCGAATTTACCCTTTGGACGTCCTCAAGGCCTCTTATAGGGCACCCCAAACATTTCTGTGGGGTCCACAGCCCCTTAAAATCCTCTCATTTCCAGATGAGTSGTCCAAAACCTCTCACTTGTGACTTCCAGGGTCACCACCACCCTGGCTCAGGGCAGGGGACACCCCAGGACATGCTGGGGATGGTGTCGGGGTGCTGTAGTCCCCCTGGCCTCATCCCAGCCCAGTGACCTGTGAGCATGAAGCARTTTTGGGGCTAAATCTGGATTAAACAGGAGCCACAATTTTGGATCCATGATGGGAATATTCTGTGAAAAATCAATGTTTCTCCCAAATTGGACCTTGGCCATGGCTCATCGTGGATCAAGGGGTGATGGCTGGTGGTMCCCAAATAATTATGGAGATTTTGGATCAATGGAGGGAGCTGGTGGCTTTGGGGACACGGCACAGCTTGGTCATATCCCTTCTCCATCTATCCCCGGACAYGGGATGTGCTTTATTTCCCCCCTTTTCTTTTTCATTTTTTGAAGGGTTTTTAATTAACTTCCTGTTCCAATGGTGGGATAATGAGTTTTAAGCAGCACATGATTCCAGTAAAGAGGTCAAACCGGCAATGAGGATGTCAAAAGAAATTAAGTTAGGAATTAAGAAAAGATCCAGGGGAGAAAAAAAAAACAACCTATGGAAGGAGAGAGATGCTGCTGAGGACAAGGCTCTGCTGTCCCCCCCTTGGCTGACCACCCCACAAAAGGATCCTGGTGGCGTCTTTCACCTCGTGTGGCCTCGAATCGCCTTCCTGGAGACCATCCCCCCGGGCAGCAGCTCTGCTTGCAGAGCCCTTCCCTCCTTCCCAGCTCCGGCCCGAGCAGCCCGGAGCGGCTCTGCTCCGATGTTTCCGATGCCAAAATCCCCATCCCGACCCTTTTGAGGGTCCCCGGCTCCTCCCGGCACGGCCCCGGGGATTTTGGGGCTGGGGGCACTGCAGATGCAGCCCTTCCCTTAGCATCGCCCCCGGCACCGCAGCTCCCGTGGTATTTACCTGGCAGTGTTTGCTTACGCCAAGATAATTAGACAACCATTTAATTAAACACAGCCTCGCTAATTGCACGGATTTCAGGGGCTGGGGGGTGAGCGAACACCGATGAGGAGCCCAAATTTCCTCTCGCCGGGAGGCCGCGGGAGGATGGGGGCTGTCCCCGGCTCTTTGTGCTGGAAGAAGCAGCGGCCGCATCTTTTGAGGGGACAAGGGGACATTGTCACACCCACGGGGGGCCGCATCCCGCCCCAAAAAGATGCCCCAAAAGCCTCAGCAGAAGGAAACAGGTTGCAGTCCTTCCCCTGGCACATCCCATGCCAATGCCCCCTCAATTCCCTTTTTGGCACCATCCCAGAGCCTCTTAGACCCCTCCAAACCCGACAATTCGCAGTCTCAACCACCACCCAAAGGTTGGATCCCGGCGAGGGGACGTCCCCAAATCCCYCATCCCCTGGGGGGACCCATGGGTRCTCCTGCTTGGGGACAAGCGTCACTCTGCCGGTGACAGCGACAGGGCTGGGTGTCTCCCTGCTCCCTTCCCGCTCCCGCCGTGTTTGCAGAGAGATTGTTATAGGGGAGCCGAATAAATAGCGTGTTTTCCCGAGGAGTGAATTACACGCCTGCAGAGCAGAGATAATGCGGGAGCAGCCGTTCCCCCCATTGTGAGCGAGGTGACATCTTTTTATGGAGCTGTGTACATTTGTATTAGTGCCAATTAATCTGGGCTGGCATTATTAGAGACGCGGCGAGAGGAGGAGGCGGCGGCGCAGGAATGTCAATGGGAAGAGCCAAGGAGCTGCCTCAGCTGGATTTCAGAGCTCAGGGATGGTTYTGGGGAGATTTTAGGGGGCTGTGCTGAATCCTCCGAGGGGGATGAGTGCCCGTGGTGCCGGCCGGTGGCACTGCTCGCTGGCACGCTCTGCCAAGGCTCCAAACCCAGCTTTTTTTTTCCAGCTCAAAATGTCCTATTTTAGAGTGTTTTTGTCCCAAGAAAGAGGACTGGCATCACCATGCCCCACCTGCAGAAGGGCCCTGCCACCTGCTGGTAGGAGAACCTGGCCCTGGGTGCCACTTGTCACCTGCCTGTGGCTCGGCTGCCAACAGCACCAAGCCCCTCTGTGGCTTGGGCACGGATATGGCACAGATATGGCACAGATATGGCACGGATATGGCACGGATATGGCACGGGTATGGCACGGATATGGCATGGCTTGGACACGGCAGGAGCACAGCCTTGGCATGGTTTGGGCACGGTTTGGGCAAGTCTTAGGCATGGCTTGGGCATGTCCCTCCATGACTTGGGCACGTCTCCTGTGCAGAGAAGCTGCTGTGGAATTCCAGGCTCCCCGGAGCTGTATGGGAAGGGTTTGGGATTAAAACAAATCACAACCATGGAATTATTCAGGTCTGAAAGGGCCCAGCTGTCCCCCCAGCACTGCCAGGGCCACCACTGAACCAYGTCCCCAAATGCCACATCCACGTGGCTTTTAAATCCCACCACCACTGGCCTGGGCAGCTGTGCCAGGGCTGGACAACCTTTTCCATGAAAGAATTTTCCCTAACATCCAACTTACACCTTCCTTGGCACAAAAGATGCTGGATGCTCCAGAAAGCAGATGGGAATGTGTGGATGAGCAGCCCCCACATCCCCAATCCAAGGCTGGGATGTCTCCGTGCTTATTTCCCCCGCTCCCTTATTGATCTCCTGCTACAGGAACGACGCTCTCACTCCCAAAAGGAGCAATCCAACCAATCCCCGGGGACTGGGCAGTGAAAGTGGGCTTTGGGAGTGTCACTGCTGGCAGGATGGCATCCCTGGGTGCTCCTGTTCCCACCCCTCACAGCCCCCCAGGGCTCCAGGTTTTCCTGCATGAATTCAGCATGAAGGATGCAGGATCCCTCTGGTGCGTGTGGTCCCTGTCACACACCCCAGGGGGGCAGCTGGGCTTTAAATTCCTGCTGTGCCAGGAACGGCCAGATTTGACTCAAAAGCAAGAAAAAAAAAAATTCTAAATCTTCAGCCCCTGCTTGCAGCGTGACAACCATGGTGGATCCCGTTATCCTCCAGGCTTTATGGAGAGGCTTAAAGCACCTCCAGCTCAGAAACTTGGATGTGGGGCTGGGCAAAGAAAGGCTGGCTGGATTTGGGGGGAGGTGAAGAGAGAAAACAGCTTGAGGAAAATTTAGGGTGGTGGTAAGAAGGCAAGAAATCCCCCGAGGGGCTCTGTCAGACCCACCCTGTCACCCTGGGGCTGGCTGTGGGGTTGTCCCAGCCCTGTTCTGGGTTGAGGATGGGACAGGCTGGCCCTGTGTCCTGGTGGGGTGCAGGGTGGGCACCCCCAGATGTTCTGGGTGCCAGGGGAGCCCCCCTGTGCTGCTGGYCCCCGCTGAGCAGGGAGCTAATCCACAGCAGGGAGAAGCTGCCYGGCTTTGCATCCTCGCTGGAATTAYGGTGACAGGGGMCTGCAATCTTCCAAGTGACAAACGCTGCYGGATAATGCAGGACTCAGCAAACCCCGGGGCTTTAGGGAGCTCAGAGGAGCTGATGGAGGGGGGGAGCTGAGGGAGTGGAGGATGGGGGGAAAAAACCACTCACATTTAGAGGGAAAAAAGGATTAATTAAATAATGCAGCCCCCAGAGATGTGGGGATGATGCCAATATCTCCCTGGGGAGCGGCATTCCAAAAGGAAGCATCACTTGTGRCCTGGGCTTCCATAAAACAGGTGCAGCTTTGGGATGGTGCCCCTGCACCCATCTCAGGGCCCAGGCATGGGTSCCACCCCTGCAGCATGGCTCCCAGGAGACTCATTTCCAGGTGATGAATCTGGAGGTGTGGGAGAGCTCTGGTAACAACCAGCCATGAAATCCTCCTCCTCCGCCCCGCAGGTTYGCTGCCCTGGTGAAATATAGTACAGGGAAAACATAAAAGTCCCATTTCCAGCTCCATAATATTTCCTGCCAAAACAAAGTAAAATGTGCCGCCTTAAATTTTCTGCAAAATTCTTTTGAGGTTATTTTTTTCCCTAAATTAAGCCATACTAATTATTTTCAGCCACTTTATCTCCACTCTGCAACACACCAGGAGGGTGCAGGCGGCAAGCATTTTAAGCCTCCATAAACAAAAGAGTAGTTTGGAAAATAATTCTATCAATTAATCAAATTAATCCTGCAGTTTTAGTTACAAGCCCCGAGTGGCGAGGATCCCAGCCGGCGGTGCCGAGCTATCTCTCACTGACAGCGTCTCCGCGCTGTGATTGCGGCAGTAATTAAAGGATAGAATACACCGCCTTTGTGGCGGCTCCTTCCCCACCTCAGCGGGGCCGCAGAGGTCAGCTCGAGGACAAAGTGGGGACAGGAGAACTGGGCTGTCACCAGCACCATCACCATCATCGTTATCATCATTGTTATCATCAT